GTGAGGAAAACCAGAAAGCTATTGAGGTGGGTGGCTGAAAGTCCTGCATGGTCAGAGCATCCCCCAGGTAGACTCCAGCCAGGGGACCACAAGGAATCTGCCCCCCTGCCGACCTGCTCAAAGCCCTGAGCGGGTTCCAAGGGTGTTTCCCAGAGGATTTTGGGTAGGGGGAGCAGGGGCTGCTCAGCTGACCAGGAGGCAGCTCCAGCCCTGCTGCCATGTCATGGGATGCTTTCTGTGTTGAAAGATGCTGTTCCAGTCCTTGGAGACACTGAAGGACAAAGCAGAGGAGCAGAACATGTTGGCGGCAAAGGACATGGTACAGTCTGGTGGGACTGACCCTGCGGGGTGATGGGGTGACCAGGGCCACCCTGCCCTGAAAGGGGCACGATGGTACAGAGGGAGTGCTTCTACCTCTGCCCCTGACACGCCCTGGCCCTGCCTGTCATTCCTCAACCCTTTCCCCTCTGCTCTCCTGCCTTTCTCCTCTGCCAGAAATCTGCCTTGGGCAGCAAAGTCAGTTGCACCCAGTTTGAGGCGAGCATGGAGCGGCTGGATCAGAGGATGCAGGAGATGCAGGGCCAGGTGTTGGGACAGAATGAACACTGGAACGAGGTGGAACAGCAGCTCAACAACATGATGGAAAACAAGGTGAGTGGTTTCTCATCCCTCTCATGCAAAACTGGCACCTTTGGGTCTTGGCAGCCTGAGGCAGCATCTCTCTGAGGGTCCCCCTCTTGGATTTTCCCTGGAGACAGCCATGTCCCATGCCGGGGCAGCTGGCTGAGGGTGTGCACCTGTCCACAGCTGGATCGCCTGGAGCTGAAGCCTTTCCATAAGCAGATGGAGAAGATCTGGCAGAAGAGCATCAAAGAGCTCGAGAAGAAGATGACCGAGAGTGACAGCGCCGCTGGGCTGAGGAAGTGAGTGGGATGGGGATGGCAATGGCTTTGGGGACAGCAATGGTGCTGTTCCCTCCAGCTGTCCCAGACAGTGCCCACGTGGTACCCTGGCACTGCACTAATTTAGCCACCAAAGGAACCGTGGTGATGCTGATGAAGCAGCTGCACCTTCTCCTTCCACCAGCAGCAGGAAAGGAGGCACGAGGAGGGGGCAGCTGTGGGACAGAGCCCTCC